TCACTTTGTATGCCTCTTGGAGAAAAAAGGAATATCAATAATTGATGTATTTTCAGCACTTCATCATATCCATGACTATTCATAGGCTCGTAACGAATGACAATAGGACAAATTCCTTATGCATACCAGCTAGCCTTTTGTTTTCGAATGAATGGATAATTATAAATTTATAACAGTAGACACCGTGTAGACCTGATGGAATGCGTCCTTTGCAAGGACTTTTAATGTTTACTTATGAAAAACATGATAGAATGTGCTGAGGATAGATTTCTGTCGGTCTCACGCTTAGCTATAGGGGCACAGGTTATTAACGTATTGAATTACTGATGGAAACGTGTTGAAAATTTTAATGATACACGTAATACACTTGATACCTATTCACACTACCTATTCATGAAGGGATGCTTAATAGAAAAAAGCAGAGCCGGATTTAGAGGTCTGGAGGCCATGGGGCAACAAAAGAGTAGAGGCCCCCTTACTCCAAATTAGTGATTCACACGAGACCAACGAGACGAGACTTTCATAAATAAAAATAAAACTGATAATCTTTACCCTTCATCACTATAAAACAAAAATACATGATTATGTAGAAAAACATCAAGTATCTGAATAAAATAACATGAACCAAATAACAAACAAAATAAGTACAATTGAAGAAAACATATATAAAATATTAGGTACACAAACACATTTGAAATTGAAATGAAAAAATATAAAAATTACAATGACTTGTTGATGTCAACATAACAGTGTCTTAGAAGAAACTGTTTGATCACAGGTTTAATTTTTTTGAATTCCAGTATTTTGACGGAGCTGTGGAGAATATTATGAATATCGAGATTCAAAGAGTTTCTGCAGCTAACAGCTAATAGCTAACAGCTGTGTCGTGGGGTTCTCAATGAATTGAGTTGAATTGAATTGAATGATAAACCATCATTGTGATACAAATCTACAATACAATCAACTTCAGTGTTTATAGTATTGAGAACATATCCAAATTTGTCCTGTACAAAACTGTATAAATATTGTTGAAAAGGAATATTCTCAGATAAATTATGAACATACAAAAATGGATATATACAGGCTGATTCACGGTGGATGGCACATTAGACGTTTCTGGTGAACCAGATAACGGATCATTTTGAAAATTCAATGGAGGGCATATTCGAACATTCTCTAGCCAACTAAAATATTTTCGATAATGCGGTGTTGCCGCTTCTATTAGAAAGCAGTGGCAACTTTGATTTTTCAAATGGAACACTCTGTATTTTATTGCATTTTTAGATTCTGCCTGAAGAGCTGATTTCATCGATGTATCACACTTGGGGTCTAGCGGAAATGATTACAGAGATATAGGGTGTGAAAAATCGACATTTTTCAACTTTAGGATTTTTTTGTGTCGAAACTATTCATCATTGGTCAAAACGGCTTACATGTCCCTATCTCAACTTTTGATTAACTATCTACTGATATTCAATTCGGACATATACCGGGTGATCAAGATTCTGAATTCTGCACCACCCTGTATTTGTTTCAATTAAATGTTAGTAGATAATTGATCAAAAGTTGAGATAGGGACATGTGAGCCGTTTTGACCAATAACGAATAGTTTCGCCAAAAAAATTCCTAAAGTTGAAAAATGTCGATTTTTCACACCCTATATCTCTGTAATCATTTCCGCTAGACCCCAAGTGTGATACATCGATGGAATTTGCTCTTCAGGGAGAATCTAAAAATGCAATAAAATACAGAGTGTTCCATTTGAAAAATCAAAGTTGCTACTGCTCTCTAATAGAAGCGGCAACACCGCATTGTCGAAAATATTTTAGTTTCCTAGAGAATGTCCGAATATGCCCTCCATTGAATTTTCAAAATGATCCGTTGTCTGGTTCACCAGAAACGTCTAATGTGCCATCCACCGTGAATCAGCCTGTATTTATATAAAGCAATACATTGAGAATTCGCATTCTCTATGTGATGAGAATATTTACTCTTTTTCAGTTGATTCAATAGAAAACAACCACTTTCTTGGCTATATTCCACGACGAACATTGAATTATATCTATTGAACACACAAGATAAGAGTTTCAAAATAAAATAAAAAAACTTCTGAAATTGAGAATTTGCATTCTCCTACAGACAAAAATATGTATATGCCCACATCATTCTGAATATTCAACAGAAAACAACTACTTTCCTGACTATTTGCCACGTCGAACATTGAATTATATCTGATGAACATTCAAAAGGAGAACATGAAAAATAAAGAATAAAATCTTCCGAAATTGAGAATTGACATTCTTCTTCAAATCGGATGAATAATATGATGAATAATGATATAGAAATATGACTTACCAATATATTGAGCATTGAAATGGAAATTGGAATGTATAGGAGAAGTATACTGGCATGAATTCTGATCTTGATGATAGAGTCTCAATTCAGAATTATTTCCACGCCCTGTATGATGAATGTCAATTTATTATACACCCGAATGTATAAATATTGTACGTCGTTAGCAAATATATATATATGAACCTTCTCAAAATGATTTAGCATATATGCTGTGAATACTCTGAAGAGTACCGGTCCTAGTATCGATTCTTGTGGAACACTTGATCTGCTACTGTTATCCTAGTTGAGCATTTGCGTTGGTGTAGGTAATTAGTGAACCATTTCTGTGTCAAATTTTGGATTCCGTAGTACTGCACTGTAGACAGTAACATCAGTTCAAAGTTGATAGTATCAAATGCTATAGACATATCAATGGGTATTATAAGAGTATAACCAGACCTTTGTCTCGTGCTGTGAAAATATCATCTGTACTCGTGCTGTGAAATTATCATATGTTATCGAAGACAAGGCTGGTTCACTTTTTTTGGTATAGGTTGAAAGCTAGCACTTTTCCATATGAAGACCACAGGGGAAAAGGGGGAATGTCACAATATAGTGGAAATTGCAAGGTTGGTAGAACTGATTATAATTTGTATAGGAAGGTTGCCTCGATCGATAGTGCGGCAAGGGGGGAAACGGTCACTCGTGACGTCACAGGCAGTAAGACGACAAGTTGTCAACCTTAAAGCGACATGTCATGAAATGTTTACCAAATTGAATATACAAACATGATACAAACTTTTTGGTCTGCTCAGCATATTTATATTAATTTATAGTATATAATTATAAGTAAGTACCATTATAAAATATGGATATTTACATATACTTCTGATCATTTTTCCAAACTTCCATACCTATGGTGTTTCTCTTGTTGTATTTGGTATTATTGATGGGATTCCTACCTTGAGTTTTCTTCTCTTTGGTGTGTGATTTAGCAATTCTGCTTGTGCCGTTCAAAATCCTCGGCATCGAAATGGGCAGAACATATTCGCCAAGTTTTGGTATTAAATGAATTTAAATTACGTCCACAAAATTGAATCCATATTTCTCACGAATAGACTCATCTTATGGAAATTAATAATGGAAACACAAACTAAATTCACTAGTCTCATTACACTTGTGCGAATTTTAACAAGAAGTGACCGAACAAATTATCATTTTTACATTTTTAGGTTCAAAATGGTTCAAATATTCGAAAATACTGACAACTGTCAACTCAATACATGCGCCGGCCAATCGCCGGCGTACATATCATACACGAAGTGTACGAGAGTGCTACACTTTTCGTGCAAAAGAAAGGGCCTATTACGTCATGAGTTACTCAAGGTCACTCGCGGGGTGCGATCGAGGCAACCTTCCTCTACAAAATAGTCATCAGTTCTACCAACCTTGGGAAATTGATTTTACACCGCCATCTGATAGCCTAACCATGCACTATATTTTAGTGTAAACAGAAGTCCATAGCAATAACACAGCATAGTCAGCTAATATGCTCGTTCGAAAATACGTTCACATGGAAAAAACGCGGAATGCCCACTTCAAAAATGTGAAGAAAGGGGAACGTCAAAGCTTAGTGCTTGCTTTGAATACAGATTCCATTGTGATTTAAATAGGTTGTTTCCACACTGTCAAAAGGGCAAAGTGAACTTTCAAGCAAACGAAATATGAGAAAAAAAGAGATACGGCCACCATTTTTTCATCTCTCGGAGCGTACCAAAGGGAATCCCTATAATGTTCGGGGAACATTGTGGTAACTAGGGAGGATCGGGAGAGGAGGTAGGTATAGAGATTTTTTTAAATTTTTGGAGATTATAATATCTTATGGGAATACTCTGTTAGGGAAAAAAGTCCAAAGCTTCGCCGTTCTATCTATAAACGAGTTTTTGTAAAGAGTTCCTAGATATATTTCGAGGTTGACGACAAAAAGGTGTGTTGACTGGGCTTGTCGAGTACGTCTTGATGGGAATAAAATAATAAGATTGCTACATGATGATTCCTACGCATATCGCGTAGAATTTATAGAAAATGATCAAACTATAGAGATGCTAGCTGTACTTTATGACAACGTACCGCTCATTAAGTAGTCAGGCAAGAATGGACAAATGTACCAGAGCAAAAATTGCGAGTAGACAATTCATTTTTTTTGACAATTTATTTGGACATTCCCCATTTTTTCCTTAAATTTTCATTTCTAGTTGTTCAACTATGCTCATTATACTCCATCAAATGAATTCAGGTGGTTTGATTTCAGTTTCCTTCAACTCCCAAAGAGTAAGAAGGTTTTAAACTTTGAAATGTGTTTTTCTCGAAACTTACTTTTTGTGACATTCCCCCTTTTTCCCTGTGGTCTTCATATGGTAGGTATAAAACTACTTTCTAGTGAAATGATTATAAGTTGATTGCAATATCACATCACATTCAATGCATCGAAACTATAAGGAATTGTCGAATAAAAAATAAACCACACGCTCATTATTATTATCATCAAAAATACCAATTCCTTATCATTATATTATTTCTCAGTCATTACTTTTTCATGAATTTCTGATGTTTTTGATACCATTATATCTATATTCGAGTATACAGGTACCTATTTTGGTGAGTATGTTGCGTTTTCTCTTCCGGTGAAGATATAAGTTTGATATATACCAACAGAAAAGAAAATCACCTACATCAATGAACAATCCAGAATTGTATACTAAGAACAATCATTTTTCACGGATATCCGCCAAATTCATATTGGATAAATATGGAAAATGGATGACTTGGAAAGATAACGAAAGAATAATGGAGTTTGGAGTGGGGTGTGGAAATACAACTAAAGAAATTGTTCTACCACGGATTCCATCGAACTTCGCTGAATATGTCGCTGTGGATATCAATAAAAAATTCGTCAACATGGCCAAAAGCACCCTAGCACATGATACACGATTTCAATTCATGAACTTCGATATCGAATCCAATGAAGTACCTCTCAAATTCATGGAGAGGTTCGACCACATCCTGTCTTTTCTTGTAATACACTGGACGAGGAAGCCAAGGTTGGTATATTATGAATAAAGAAAGTTTTTGGAGTTTTGACGAATTGATATTCATCATACAGGACGTGGAAACAAATTCTGAAAACCCAATCACGAATCTGCGATTGAAGGTCTATAAAAATAACTTAATAAGTTCCAAGCGTTCAAGTTTGATATATTATGAACATGAAAAAAATTTATATACAGGGTGAGTCATTGAAATGAGAAAGTGAGATAATGGCTTCGCTGTTCGAGATAGATGAACAAAAAATTTTGGTGATGGTCTAGGCTCATGAGCAGCACATGTCCAATATATTTTGCGTTATACAGGGTGACTCAAAAATGCGTGACGTATCATAGTTATACTTTTTCTAATAGGACACCCTGTAGTTCATTGAATTTTCGGATTCTCCTTCGTGAGCTGATTTCATCGAAACTTGGGGTCTAGTGAGAATGATTACAGAGATATAGGGTGTTCAAAATCGGGATTTTTCAACTTCAGGATTTTTTTGTGTCGAAACAATTCATTATTGGTCGAAACGGCTCACATATCCCAAACTCAACTTTTAATTTACTATCTACTGATATTTAATTTGAACGAATACAGGTTGGTGGTCCATAGTTCTGATTTTAGAACTACCCTGTATTCGTCTAAATTAGATATCAGTGAATAGTGATTCAAGAGTTGAGATGGGTACATGTGAGCCGTTCTGACCAATAATAAATAGTTTCGACACAAAAAAATCCTAAAGTGGAAAAATCTCGATTTTGAACACCCTATATCTCTGTAATCATTCCCGCGTGTGATGTTTTGATGGAATCAGCTTACAGAGGAGAATTCTGAAATGCAATACAATACAGGGTGTCCTATAATAAAAAGTATAACTTTGACACGCCACGCATATTTGAGTCACCCTGTAAACGCAAAGTAATTTATAAATATGCTTATCATGAGCCTTGACCATCACAAGAGTTTTTATTCATCTATCCCGAACAGTGAAGCCGTTATCTCACTTTCCTATTTCAATGACTCACCCTATATATATATATTTGAGAATAATCCATCTCAATATTATGTGTGTTTAGCCTACCGACCATTTGGCATGCAATATAAACTAAATTATAATGATTTTGAGATTTAAACGAATTTTAAATTAAAAATATATATGGGTGTTCATGCAATAACCTTTCATCGGCTGTTTAATCTTTTTCCAGCGCGGCTAGTTATTATTTGGCGCATGCGCTATCTTTAATTATGGAAAAAATTGATTTCTTAGTTGAATGCGATGACCATCTTTCTTAGTTTTAATTTTTCAGTTTCTTGTATAAGCACCTACATTACATTTCATAGTTTTATATTGTTGGTTCGAATTTAAAATTAACTTAATTTTTGAAGCTTGCTTGCATATATCGATATATCGAATAACAATATATAATTTTGAAAACATCGATATATCGATATATCGATGATTATCGATGACTATCGATGACTATCGATGACTATCGATGACTATCGATGACTATCGATAACTATCGATAACTATCGAAAAATCGATATAACGAAAAATCGATAAATCGAAAAATCGATATATCGAAATATCGATATATCGAAATATTGGTATATTGATAACCATCGATATATAAGGATTATAAAGTTATCGATATATCGATAACTATCAATTTTTTCTCAACATAATCACGATGTTCTGAATATTCGAGATAGTTCTCTCGTTTTATTGTTCACGAAATTGTGTTGCTGTACGGCATTATAACTTTTGTCTGGATATCACGAAAGCTTCTAAGAGTCAGAAAATTGAAATGAGTTTATTTTCACCGATATGTTGAGACGAAATTGATATTTATCGATATATCGATAACTTTATAATCCTTATATATCGATGGTTATCAATATGGAAATATTTTCGATATTTCGATATATCGATAAATCGATTGTAGCGCACGAAAGGAAATCCCTATAATGTTCAAAGAACATCGTGCGTTATTTTAAATATATCAAAAATGCACGTTGAAATATTTTGCAATTGGTCAGATCGGTGACTTCTCGACGGTTTGTAATCATGGGAGTGAAGAAATGCGAATTTTGACGAAAGAATCATAATCTCCTACCCCCAAAATTTCTCGAGTTCGACTTTGATCGATATATCTGGACCCACGGAAAGATACTCAGGTGGTCCAAAACATTTATATTTTTCATTTTTGAAGGACCGCTGGAGCTCCCGACGAGTCTAAGGGCAATTGAGCCTAGGAAAGATAAGAAGTATGAAACTATGAAAATCATAAAATTTGATTTAATAATTTATTTTTGTAAGATTATCACAGATAATGTGCCAAAATCAGAGGACAGAGAGCGTGGATTCAATCAATGATATGCCTTATGTATTTTTTACAAAAAATCCATGGTTAGATATTTTTTCCCTTGAAACTGACAAATTCCTAATTTCTTCTTGATTTTTGTGGTGAAAATGGGGTGAAAATGATGCGGCGAAATTAGGGGACAAAATGATATATTTTAAATATGGTGTACACTTTTATGGAAGTTGTTTGCCCCTCGATATTATGTATTTCTTCAGCTACTGGCTATCGTCAATAATCTAGTAATGATAAAAGATACACTTTTTAGGAAAGCATTTGAAAATTTGCTGAAAATGTTGAGGTCCGACGGAGAAATATTCCTGATGTTTGTAGATAAAAGTCCCATCGATGGTGCTCTCGAAGAACTTGGAAAGAATCCCAGATGGGCAAAATATGGCCACGAGAATTTCATTTCACCATATTATCATAATATTGACCCATTGATACCATACCGAAAGGACATGATAGCAGCTGGAATAGACAACCCCAAAATAGGGATTGAAAAAATGTTATTTTGCTACAAAAATGTGAATCACTGTACGGGTGAGTAAGATTCTCTTCAAACTCCTTAATAGAAAATATGAAAGATCATCTCAACACATAAAATTATATTCAGTAGCAATTCCACAAGTGATGGAGCACACGAATGGAAATTCCTATAATGTTCGTTCAACATCGTGCGTACCTAAGGATGATAGGGAAAGGAGGTAGGAACTGGACATTTTTTCAACTTTTGGAGGTTATGAGTTCTCTGAAATTGTTCCATTGGCAAACAATTCCGATGGTTCGCCGTTCTATAGATGAACGAGTTTTGGTAGAGTGCTGTTCGACATTTGTAGAATAAAATGGAAATCGATCATAGGCATTTTATTCAAAATCCGAAATACCATTCCCATAGAATACTTGGAATGTATTTACTTTTGCCTCATTCAATCAAATTTGCAATATTTAATTTCTATTTGGGAGAGTACAAATATTTCACGCCTAAAACCACTAAACAAATAAAAAAACAAATCAATTAAGTGCGGTAAATTTATACAAACCTATACATTATCTGATTTCGTTATATATAAACTCAAAACATGTTGTTTTATTAATTTGGCCAGGAATAAATTGAAAATATCGGATTTGGCTTGTAATGTAGTCGATTATTTGATAGCAATAGTATATTACATAACTAGAGTGTGAAATGACATATTTCGCGCGAGTGGATGTTTAGCACGAGCCGCAGAGCGGCGAGTGCTCTGAAACGAAACGAGCGCAGGAGAGCGCTAGAGACGGTCAGGAATCTCAGGAACAGCTCATCATCAATGATTCCTGACAGACATTCTATGATATGAATAGCGCTTTGGTATGGGGAGAAGAACAGTATTCAGAAAGAAAGATATTATCCTGATTTGAAGAATTTTTGTATCATACTATAACGGCGGATGTGCTTCAACGCCCTGTATACCCTCCTCAACGAACCTCAAAGTGACTAGCTTCGACTTAACGGCCATCATCAGACACAAAGATTGTTATGTGTTATGTTAAAAGATTAAAACAATACAAAGATGAAAAATATATATGGTATACATGGTGCCCGTTTTTCGAGCATCACCATGGGGATCTAAGTTAATATAAAAGATAAGAGATCGGTTGAATAATGGCAAAGTTGCGCATTTTCATGCTGAACATTTATCTGCAAGAAAATTCGATGTCAATGTCATTCTTAGTTTTTGAATTATTCGAAGAAAACGAACATTTTCAATTTTCTTTTTCATTTTTTCAAGCAAGAATCAAAGGACCTAGACGTTTCTGAATAGGACATTCTGGATCTGTCACTGCATTTTCCATGACGTTGTTCTTGATGCCAAAGTTACAATACTCAACTTTGTTTTTTCTCAGGGGCGCCATATCGGATTTTTGCATTGCATACAGAAAATACAGAACAAATAAAAAAATTAAACGTGAGAAACAAACTGTTATAACAGAGGTGTAACAGTATTATCTCATACTTGGATAATGGATACCCTGTATTCATGGAGATGATGTTAGTTGTCAGTTGACATCAGTGTTTAACGTCAGGCAGTTAATAAAGTTAGATCTTGATAATCTTCATCTTATTATATGGTGTCAGAAGAAAACTGAGAAATGGCCGACGAGGAAACCAAAGAAACTATAAAGATGCTGGTAGAGCAAATAAATCAGTTGAAATCATCATTGGCAGCTTCCACACATGCTGGAACCCATATGAATAATTCTGCTGCGGGAGCTCCGATATCCTCATATGTGCAGCCGCCAAAACCGTTTAACATAGGAGGCGATCCATCAAAGACATGGAAAATATGGTTACAACACTTCGAATGGTTTGAACAAGCAGTAAATCTCGGATTGAAAAGCAATGACCAGCAAATATCCACGTTCATGATGGTGATTGGGTCAAACTGGTTCGAGATATATAATAACTGGCCACTGGAGAAAAAATCGACTCTCGAAACATTGAAAGACTCATTCAGTCAACATTTCATTCCACGAACGAATACTGCATATGAGACTTTCATATTCAATAGTATGAATCAGGAAGAAAACGAAAGCTTTGACGATTTCCTTATCAAAATACAAACACAAATTAAGAAGTGTGACTTCAAGGATATGGAAGAACGAATTCTCCGAGACAAGATCATCATTGGAGTTCGAAATGAGAAACTCAGAGAAAAACTAATATCTGAAGATGATCTGGATATTAACAGAGTGATCAATATGAGTCGAATGAGTGAAGTAACTAATTGAAAAATGAAAATTCTACAACCATTAACTTTGTTAAAAAATCCTCCAACTATGAACGAAAAGACCATAACAAGGTTGAACAAAAATCTTCATTTCATTGCAGACGTTGTGATACTGATCATGGTCCGCGCGAGTGTCCAGCTTATCGAAAGAGATGCAGGGCTTGGACATTTCACGAAAATGTGTATGAAACAAAAGTCAGTGAATGCAGAAAATAAGCAATACTCTAATAGAGTTCATAATATCAGTAAACAGGAAGAATATGAGTCAGGCGAAAGTTCTCAGGATGAAGAATTGTTCGTTAATATCATTTTGAAAGATCATACTTCTAAAAAATATGAAGAGTTTGTAGAGTTTGTGAAAATTGGGAACAGAAATATCGAATTCAGCCTTGATACTGGAGCAGAGTGTAACGTCATTCCATTCAACTTGATCACTAAGTACAAAGACAAGATAAAATCTTCACGAACGAATACATTATGTTCGTTCAATAACTCCAAATCACAAGTAGTGGGAGAAATCATCTTACCATGTGAGATAGATAAGAGAAACATTGATATACTTTTCAAGGTTGTTTCCGAAAGTGTCACTCCAGTTATTGGCAAATACACCTGTCTGAAAGAGCAACTTGTCTCTAGAATAAAGAAAGTGAACACCATAAAATTTAATTTGAATCACAGCGTGTTCAAAGGATTAGGTTGCTTGAAAGATTTCGAATATAAAATCGACATAAAACCGAATTCCGAATTTGTCATCCGTCCACCAAGAATAATTCCTCATGCGATACGTAATCAAGTTAAAGCAGAGCTCGACTCTATGGTGAAATTGAATGTTATTCGTCCCGTAAAAGTGCCTACCCCGATTTCGAGTCCAATGGTGATAGTGAAGCAGAAAGGAAATTGAGGATCTGTATAGATCCGTCTGATCTCAATAAGAACATTCTTAGACGTCACTATCCACTTAAGACAGTTGAAGAGATTGCTAGCCGCATTAAGGGTGCTAAATATTTCACATTATTAGATTGTACAAAGGGATTTTGGCAGTTGAAAATAGCACAAGAATCCCAAAAATATTTGACTTTCAGTACACCATGGGGTAGATATTGTTTTACGAGACTCCCATTCGGTTTGTGCTCTGCCCAGAGATTTTTCAACAAGTGCTTTCAGATCTCTTAAAAAGCGAAACAAATGTTGAAAATTCAATGGACGACATTTTTATATATGAAGAAAGCAGAGAGAAATTGAAACAAAAAACAGAAAAAGTTATTGGAATTTTGAATAATGCTGGATTGAAACTAAATAAGGACAAATGTATCTTCGGAGCAGATAAAGTCAAATTCCTAGGACATGTATTCACTAGTACTGGATTGTCCATAGATACCGATAAAATTGAAGCTATAAAAAACTTGGAAACTCCAACAAACAAAGTTCAGGTTCAAAGATTACTCGGCAGCGTTAATTATTTAGGAAAATTTATTCCAAATTTATCTGAATTGACAAGTCCGATACGTGACCTGATAAAGAAAGAAGTAGAATTTGTATGGGACAATGAACAGCAGAGAGCTTTCGATCATATAAAGAAAGTATCGACCTCCCCGCCTTTACTCGAATATTATGACGTCAATGCTGATGTAACCATACAGTCAGATGCAAGTAACAGAGCAGTTGGGGCTGTACTTCTTCAAAATAGTAAACCAGTTGCATATTCTTCAAAAGCACTTACTGCATCACAAGTAAATTTTCCACTGATTGAGAAAGAAGCCATAGCTATCAGAACGGCATGTCAAAAATTCCATGCCTATATTTATGGTAAGAATCTCACTATAGAAACAGACCACAAACCTCTAGAAATCATATTCAAGAAACCATTGTCTTCCGCCCCACCACGTTTACAGAGAATCATGTTCGATATTTTACAGTACAGTCCTATAGTCATTTATAAAAAAGGTTCTGAAGTTCCTATAGCTGACATATTGAGCAGAGACAGCAAGAATATACAGAATGAAGATGAAGAAGAATTAGAAGTACAATTACTTTTTGATGCTTCTGAAACAGCTCACCAAGACATTTGTAGCCAAACCTCCAGGGATTCTGATCTATCAGCACTCAGGGAGACAATAATGTCAGGTTGGCCTTTATCCATATCTAGTCTAGAAGATAAACTCAAAACCTATTGGACTTTTCGAGACCAGCTTTCAGTTTTTGATGGATTGATCATGAATGGCCAGAAAGTTGTTATTCCCAAAAGTTATGTTCCAAAAATATTGAAAGACATTCATTCTAGCCATCACGGAATCGAAAAATCTCTGAGAAGAGCAAGGTCTGCTGTATTCTGGGTTGGAATGACAAAAGATATAACAAATTTTGTGAGGAGCTGTAATATTTGTCAAGCTTTCTATAATTCGAATCCCAGTGAACCGCTTTTGCCGAATGAAATTCCAAAGCTACCATGGCAAATAGTAGCATCCGACTTATTCAAAGTCGGTAAAGATGATTACCTGATAGTTTGTGATAGCTATTCAGGCTTTTATGAATTCGAAAAATTGACGTATAGTAGCTCAGCTGAGGTCATACGTTTGATGAAGAGGTTGTTTTCTGTTCATGGAATACCACAAGTTCTACAAACAGATAATGGGCCTCAATATAACTCTCAGGAGTTTAAAATTTTTGCTCGTGATTGGAATTTCACACATCAAACATCTTCACCCCATTATCCGCAATCGAACGGACTGGCAGAACGCTATGTAGGTATAGCGAAGAATCTGATCAAGAAAT